GCAAAGAAATTTATAAAAAAAATTTTAAATAATAGAATTCCTCTGCTCACAAAGCACAGTATTTTTCTGCAAGTTTGCTGCAAGTTTTCCATGCAAAGTTCGCAAGTTCGCATCCAAGTTTGCAGTAAACTTGCATACACTGAAAAAAATACATGAGACATTTTCAACTACATCCCCTTAGTAGAGTAAAAAGTAATAAAAAGAACTACTTTTTTAGTTAGTCTGACTACTTTTGATACTTATTTTAACTGTTTTATGTAGTTTAAAATTATTAATTAAATTAATGTAATTTTACAGTTAACTTTGTAACTGCAGGTATGTTACAGAAATGACTACAGAAAGTAGTAGATTCTACTACTTAAAGTAGTTCGATAGACTAATTTTGTAGTAGTTTTTACTTCTTCTAGGAGTTAAATAATTTTCCATGTAATTTATGTTATAGGTTTTTATAGAAGATTAGCAACTATGAAAAGTTGTAAATGCAACTACTTTAAGTAGTAAAATTAACTACAGTTATCAGTTGAACTGTGTCAGGAATGCCTTTAAGTATTAAGCAAGTCATCGTAGCGGGCGAGCGTGGTTAGGTGGTTAGGTTATCGGTTTGCGAATGTTAGGGTCGAGCGTTCAACTCCCGACGTTTAGAGATTTTTTCTCCGTTAGGTATATTTACATTAAATATATAAGGTACAGGTATAAAAGTGGGTACGGAAAAATATGAAAAATACAACTCGATAATATTTATAATAAATTATAAATAATTTTATTTTACCATTTTAAGTAGTTGTCTTTACTACTGAGTTATCTTAGTAACTTTAACTACAAATCAGCAGTTAATTTTACTGTAAAACTGTCATTGGTTCCTATTTAACTAAGAAAAGTAGTTAATGCAACTGTATTATCACTTCATTCAACTACATGTCTAATAATAAACGTAAGTTCAAAAATATCTTTGGGGACTTATTGAACTAAGAAAAGTAGTTAAAAAGTAGTCAAATTTACTAAGAATTTTTTTCAGTGTACAAATAAAAATGTCACCCTCTTGGCAAGTTTGCAATGAAAACTTGAGGAAAATTTGCAGCAAACTTTTTAAAATACCTAAAAAATTAAAAAAAAATTTTTTTTCAAATTGGATATATTTTGATGAACGATGCCTTCCCTGTAGGGAAGGTGACTAAAATGTAGTGCGCAGCTCTAGATGTCATAGTAAACTACTGCGCATACATTTAAGTTTTTGCTATTTGGCGCAAGTTTGCTGCAAACTTGCAGTGCAAACTTTCCAAGTGGGTGACATTTTTATATTTATGCAAGTTTGCTGCAAACTTGCAGAAAATGTCTGTGCTTTGTGGGTGAAATTTTTATTATTTAATTCATTCATTGAAAATTGTAATTTTCTAAAATTTCAAATTAAAATTTTTTTTAAATAATTGAATTCGTTTTGGGAAATATTTTATTAAAATCGTAGAGATTGAAAATCATTAAAATTAGAAAAATTTCTGAAAATAATTGAACTTTGGAGAAGAATTTTGTTATTTATAAAGATAATTGGGATTTTTACGAGAATTTTTTTAAAGATTTGAACATAGTTGAATTTAATAAGAAGAATTTTATTTTTTTTTAAATAATTTTTGCAATTATTTTTAAATTGTACAAAATTGAATTTTTTTTAGTATTTTCAACAAAAATTTAAATTAGAAAATTTTCAAATTTTATTATTTTTAAAATTGCTAATTTTAATTAAAAAAGGTAGTAAGAAGTTAGCCGCGCGCTTTAGCACGCGATTTGTTGCTAGTAAATTATTAAAATTATTATCTAATTTTAAAAAAATCATTTTTCTTATGTAGAAAAGACTTAGGGTAAGTGTGGGTATTTCTGCGAATTTTTAGTGTAGGTTAACTTTGCGAAGCTCGTCTAAGTTTACAAAAAAATGAAATGCAGTTTTTTCAATTACAAATTAAAGTTCAATTATTATATTTTCCAAATCATTAAACTCAATCAAATTTCGTTACTTATTTGTATTTAAAAAAGTAAATTAAAAACTGATTGTCAACACATGTATTATTGTTGAGTTGCGAGTAATATTGTGTGACATTTATGAAGGAAACATTAATTATTGTGCGAGCATTATTGTAGAAAATCAGGTGTCGCATAACGCGCTGGTTGTCAAAAAAGAGGTTATGTTTAGTATGCGTTGCGCAGTAAACGTATTTAAAAATCACAATAATACTAACATCATGGAGTAGTATAAGGAGACCGAACGCCCGTGATGAATCCGCGTCAAACGTGGCCGCATTTTTCATAACAGTGATTCCTCTAGGCTCACTTACATCGATAGAAGAGCCTCTCGCGGAGGAGAAGATCATTATATTTAAAAACAAAATAAGACATGACATAACCTCTAATTTTGTTTATAAAAGTGATTGTTAGTTTAATGAAGCATGTAAAAAATAAATTGTGAGTGAAAATGCCTGCTGCTGTCTGTGTAGTGAAAAATTGCAATTCTTCTCTCTTAATTATAGAGGGAATTTTAGTAACAATTAAGTTATGTATATAAACAATATTAATCGCAACAATTCTCACATATACTTACTTATTTATCTCTTTTCACTTCCAACCGAGCACTTTCAAAATTAATATTGAATAAATAATAATATATTATAATTATAAGATAATTATTAATGATAATTGTCAACTATTTCCAAACAACACTAACCTATAAAAATACCAACTGCACTGTGACATTTGTGACATTATTGGTGACATTTTTCCCCGTTGGGGGCGCTTCTATCGATGTAAGTGAGCCCAGAGGAAACACGGTAATGAAAAGTGCGGCCACTTTGCGTAAGTGGCGTTCGGTCTCCTTATACTACTCCATGACTAACATGCAGTAAAAATTCTGCTACTAATATAGTTTTAAGTATTATTAATTGAAAATCAATAATAGATGGGTAAATTAATATATTTTTCAAATAATAAAGTGTACTTCTTTGATTAGTAACACTGAAACGTGTATACTATAGTGAATATTGGAAATATCAACGGTTTTTAATATCCCTCTGAGCAAAAGGATATCCCAGGGATATCCCTGAGATATCTCGCGGGATATTAGGATATCCCAGGGACATCCCTGGGATATCTGTGACGTCTCAGAGATATCCCTGGGATATCCAAATTTCCATCCCATGGGAGACTCGCGCGGGATATCCTAATATTATCCACGCGGGATATGCTACGTGAGAAATAGTAATATGTTGAAAAATAATTAGAGCTTTAAAGAGTTGAAAAACTATTATTAAATTATAACTAGAATGAGAAAAAAATTATTTCAAAAATAAAAGATTATATTTGACTAATAACAAAGTTATTTTTTTGTGATTTAATAAACATTAGTTGAATTCAATAAAAAATGTCTTTTTAACGCTAAACATTTATTGTGTGTGGTTAAATTAATTTTGGTCAATTCATTTTATCTATTACTGATAAATATTTATTGGTTAAAGATATTTACAAGAAACTAAAAAAATGTGAAAGTTAAACATATTAAACAGCAACACTTATAATCACACACTGCAAAACACACGCTTCTGATCTAATGACGCGACGCCATGGTCGCCATGACACTCAACAGCTGGGAAGGTCGACGCCTGCGCGTGTAAGATTATATGAGTACATACATATAAAATTTTATTTCTTCTTGTTTAAAGGGAAAAATATACTGGATTTTCAGTAATTAATCTAGTAATTCATCCATTATTTGTTTAGAATGTACAATGTAATTAGAATAAATATTTGAATAATTTAATATATTATCTACCAATATTTGATGCAACAAATATTGAATGAAACTTTTTTGACTTTAATTTGTAAATATAATTCCACACAATCTTTTGACACTTGGAACGATCGTATTCCGTTTAATACACATGCGCTGACATATATCCCACGCAAGATATCCCAGGGATATCCCACGCGGGATACCCCACAAAAGAAAAATTTGCATATCCCGTGGATATCTCAGGGACATCCCAGGGATATCCAATGGATATCCCTGGGCTATCCAAATTTCCGTCCCGTGAGATATCCCATGGGATCTCCCTGGGATATCCAAGGGATGTCGCGGGATGGAAATGGGATATCCACGGGATATCCCATGCTGTGAGGGATGCATTCATGACTGACATATTTGATAATTTCACAGAATTCTGTCATAATATATTTCAAATTTAAATAAATAAATTAATAATTGTCGGAATGTATATTTTTATGAGCTATTCTATCAAGTAAGATTCAAAATGAAAAATAATGAAATGAAAATAATAATTTTTTAAAAATCGCAATAATTGTGTCACTCGCAGAAATACCCACACTTACCCTATTTAAAAAATGCAAATGTTAAATTGTAGTGTAAATAGAAAAGTCCGTATTATCCGAGTATTCTCTTAATCCGAGGTACGTCCGGTCCACATTAGCTCGGATAACCGGGGTTCTACTGTAGTTTTTAAAGGCTCTTTACATTAAGGTGGTTTAAATACTACAATGATAAATTTCCCCATTTTTAAACTCCATTCGATTGATTATTAAAATTCAACAAAATTAAATTATACTCTGTTAAACCCAACACATATTTATTTAATTAATTTTTTAAAATTCTATTCAGTTATACTGCATTCTGTCAAACTACACACAAAAAAAGTTTTTGGCTGAGACTGGTTTATTCCCATACATTTTTGCCCGTTGAATCCGAATCCGAAGTCAGAATTGTTAGACCGGCTGAAAATTTAGTGTAATAACAAAACAAATTTCACTCTTTCGACTTTAATATTGCCAAATGCTGCTGATTCAAATGAAAACTTAAATGAATATTATTTTGACTGTCAGTGTAAAAAAGGGTTTAAAATAAAATTATGCGCTATACAGTTTTGTAACTTTATTTTTAATTAGACCTAGTTGAAATACTATATACGCTACAAATCCTGTTCTCTAATGAATGTATATTTTTTCAGATTATGTCTATTTTGAGACATCTTCCACGTCGCCTTATCAAATAAGGAGGATAGAAGAATTAAATAAGGTAATTTTTAAATATCTATTTTAGTTCTATTGTGCTCCTAAATAAGTAAACTATATGCGAACTAAAAATATTTAGTGTATTTTGGTGAATTTAATGTCAAACATCCTTGCTAATACATTTAAACTAGTCGTCAAGTTGTTAAAAATAAACCTGTTCTCGACATCCATCACTATCTTAAACCAATTCCATAACTGACTCAAATGACTTTTATTATGTAGAAAGATTACAAGAAAACTTCTCTGGAATTAAAATCTTTATACGAGAATAATTTGGGAAGCAATTCTATAAATCTGAAATTTCTAAAATTATTCACCAGAAAAGGACCCGTGTAGAAATTACCCTACTAGGGCCATAGTAAGGAATGAAACGCCGCGCCCGATCAGGGCCAGATCGGGGCGACAAGAAAATGTGGATTTCCTGATCAGGGCCACATCGGGCGCGGCGTTTCATTCCCTAATAGGTCGGCCCTATCCGGCCCTGATCAGGGCCCCAGCGAAATTTCTACACGGGGATGTGTCTTGATGTGCACAATAGACAAATTATTTTTATAACTGAATAGATTTGTATGGCACTAGACTAAACATATTACACTGAAATGTTTGTTGATTTACTTTCATTATTAATAGAAATATTTTTACGGAAAAATAGAAATTAGTTATAAAATCTCACCTTGCAAACTTTCCGAAAACATAAATGCACATTTGTAGTAAACTTTTTATGAAAACTTGTAGTAAACTTATAAATTGCAAATTTGCTGCAAACATTCTATTTTAGCAGCAAATATTTTTGAAAAACTTACAGAAAATCTAAATCTGTTACATATAAATATATATGTACACGGAAAAAAAAATTAGTGAAATTTTCTTTGAAACAGCTTGACTTTTGGATAGGACAAAATTTTTAGAGTATATCATATACCTTTTCTTAGAGAACGTAACAAAATCAAGGAAATAATGAAAAAAGTCCTAGAATTATTCTAGTACTACGTTTCTACCCAAGGTAAATGCCAGCTGATCATCTGTTTCCATTTGTGTTGATTTCAAATGAGAATACATATTACTTTACGAAAAACAAATAGTGTTTTAATATATATTTGTCTTTAAGAATTGACTTTCAAAAAAATATTCTTTATTTTGTGTTTCTAACAAGACAGAATGTTATATATTACTAATTTTTCAGTGAAATAGCGTGTCTCACAAGTCATGAAAAATTTCACCATGTGGTATATAAGAACAATTCGATTCGTACTTTTAAGTGTTAAGTGTGTGTTTATATTTAAGTTATACGCGAATACATGTGTGTTACAGGTTAGTTCATAAGTGGTGATAAACGTCGAAAAGTGATACAATAATTATTCTTTGTTTATGTGATTAATTACCCAAATACTTATGTGAATGAATGAGCGAATTTAGAAAAACTGTGTGAACAAGTGGAAATTATTTTCTTCATTTTTACAGAAATATACAATTTTTTTGAAAGTCATTGAAATTCTCAAGCAAGGTGCTAGAAATTTTCATTGACTGTTTTTGTAACTCTCATGCAAAAGTGCTAAAATTTTTCTAATACTTTGTGTCATATCCAAAAGGTTAGAACGCGCGGACCCCCCTAAAAAAAGCCACCCTTAATTAAAAACCGATAAAAATAGCATATAAGTGTCCAAAACTGCCAAAAGGCGTGAGAATTTCTTTCTCAAAATATTTTTAAAAACTCCTTAAAAATGTACCAAGCATTTTACAAAAGGTTAGAACGCGCGGACCCCCCTAAAAAAAGCCACCCTTAATTAAAAACCGATAAATATAGCATATAAGTGTCCAAAACTGCCAAAAGGCGTGAGAATTTCTTTCTCAAAATATTTTTAAAATTTCCCCAAAAATGTACCAAGCATTTTCCAAAAGGTTAGAACGCGCGGACCCCCCCAAAAAAAGCCACCCTTAATTAAAAACCGATAAAAATAGCATATAAGTGTCCAAAACTGCCAAAAGACCTGAGAATTTCTTTCTCAAAATATTTTTAAAAATTTCCCAAAAATGTACCAAGCATTATCCAAAAGGTTAGAACGCGCGGACCCTCTAAAAAAAGCCACCAAACCATAGGTGCGATGTGGCGCTCGAAATCCCATAAACCACCTCTAATTAAATTTAAATAATATACATAAGTGCTTTATATTATCAATATTTATAGAAGAATTTTAATTAAAAACATTAAAAGAAGTTGAATTTTGAAGTAATTACAAATGTTTGCAGAAATTCAATTATTTTCAAAAGTAGCGAAATTCTTCTGGAAAATTTAATTATTTCCAAAAATTTGAATAAAATTTATGGTAAAATTTCAATTATGTATTTTCAAAAATTGTTATTAATTCAATGATTTTTGACAAATCTACTACTTTAATAAAATTTTCCAAAAGAATTTAATTATCAAAAAAAATTTTAATAAAATTTTATTTTAAAATTTCATTGTTTTTAAATAAATAATAAAACTCGTCCCAGACTTTCAATTATTTTTAATACAATTTTAATAGAATTCTTCGAAAAATGAAATTATTCTTAAAAATTTGATTAAAATTCCTCAAAAAAATTCAATTATTTTAAAAATCTTTGCTACAATTTATTTATTAGAATTTAAGTATTATTATCTATAAAGTTTTAATTAAATTTATTCAAAAAATTAAATTATTTTTAAAAATTTTTAATGAAATTCTTTGTAATAATTCCATTTTTTCAAAATAATTTTAATGGAATTCTTCGTTGAAATTTTAATAATGGCAAAATTTCAGTTATTTTTAAAAACTCTTATAAAATTCATTGGAGAAATTAAATTATTTTTAATTAAAATTTTAATTATATTTCCGAAAAATGAACTTATTTTTAAAAATTTTATTAAAATTTGTGAAGAGAATTCAATTATTTAAAAATTTGTTTATTAAATTCTTTATGAAAATTCAATTTCAAGAAACATTCAATCATTTAATAGGATATTTATTTTTTGTATTTAAATAATTTAATTCTATGTATTTTTTTTAGTAAATATTGATTTAAAAATGAATTTCAGTTAAGATATTAGATTATTATTGAATATTAAAAGCAATGTAGCGTAAAATTTAAGAAATAATTGAATTTTGAAAAGGTTTCAAATTAAAATTTTGAAAAATTTGAACTTTTCATACTTTTAACTAACAATTCTGAAGAATTAATTTTTTTAACCTTTAAACTGCTACGTGCTGAAAAATCACGCTCAGTGCTACCCCCGGACTGTCAGATCGTTATTCCCTTTTTTCATGGTTTTTTAGTAATTAATAATTTTCTAAAGACAACTATTATAAATATTTTTTATTTATTAACATAAAAAAGTCATTTCTATATTATTTTGATTGAATTTTTTTTATTTTTACACATGTTACAATACAAAATTTAATGAATTTGAAAAAAAAAAAATTTTTGAAAAAGTTGTCACCTAACAGATTTTGATAAAATATGAAGCTACTGAAAAGCTCAAGTTCTTATAATACACTGAAACCTTGGTTATACGGACAACTCGGGTGTGTGTCCGTATAATCCAAATAGGTTACCTTGACGAAAAAGTATAAATATACAGGACAGTACGAAGATTCTTTTTGCTCTCGATTGAAATAGAGTCGCCTGCTAATTTTTTTTTATATCTGGGACATTCCACGTCAACACGGACAGAGCTCTAAACAAAAATTGCTTTGATGGATTTAAACGTTCTAGGGCTTAAAAGATTTCTACGTTCATGTACTTTAAGATGCCGATGGGTGTTTTTTGCAAAATTCCATTTCCGATGCCAATAGAACTGTCAAAAGTCAAAAGGTCCAAAAATCTCAAAATACTTTTATGAATTAAAAGCAAAAAACGAGGTAAATTATTCTGTAACTCATTCTTTATCAGTTTTTAGGGTTCCCGAATATAAATCTAAAGTTTTTTTTTTAAAATCCAAAATGGCGAATTCAATATGGCGGACAAAATTCAAATTTGATCAGATTCGATTAAAACTTGTTACTCGGGGGTTTTTAGGGTCTCTGATTACGAATCTGAAGTCACTTTTTAAAAATTCAAAATGGAGGATCCAATATGGCGGAAAAAATTTTCAAATTTGATCCGATTCCCTTAAAACGTGTTACTCAGGGGCTTTTGGGGTCGCAGATTATGAATATGAAGTTACTTTGTAGAAATTCAAAATGGCGGATCAAATTTTTTAATTTGATCAGATTTAATTAAAAAGTGTTACTCGGTGGTTTTTAGCGTATCTGATTATGAATTTGAAGTCTCAAACACAAAGTAACTTCATATTCATAATCTGCGACCCCAAAAGCCCCCGAGTAACACGTTTTAAGGGAATCGGATCAAATTTGAAAATTTTTTCCGCCATATTGGATCCGCCATTTTGAATTTTTAAAAAGTGACTTCAGATTCGTAATCAGCGACCCTAAAAACCCCCGAGTAACAAGTTTTAATCGAATCTGATCAAATTTGAAATTTTGTCCGCCATATTGATTTCGCCATTTTGGATTTTTAAAAAAAAACTTTAGATTTATATTCGAGAACCCTAAAAAATGATAAAGAATGAGTTACAGAATAATTTACCTCGTTTTTTGCTTTTAATTCATAAAAGTATTTTGAGATTTTTGAACCTTTTGACTTTTGATAGTTCTATTGGCATCGGAAATGGAATTTTGCAAAAAACGCCCATCGGCATCTTAAAGTACATGAACGTAGAAATCTTTTAAGCCCTAGAACGTTTAAATCCATCAAAGCAATTTTTGTTTAGAGCTCTGTCCGTGTTGACGTGGAATGTCCCATCTTTAGAATTTATTAATATAGTGTAAAATTGATAATTTGAATTTATTAAATTACTTTTGTAGACAAATAAATTAATTAATTAATATTGTCCGATAACTCACTAACAATTTTGAGGTTAGGTTATATCAAGGGGAAAAAGGATCCAGTATTAGGTACGCTACTGACATCATCGAGTCAAGCACG